CAACATGCCAGCTCCTTACTCCACAAGGGAAAAAAAATTCCTGTGTCTGGTGGATGTTGGGGCAGAGGAGCAGTGCAGGCAAACAAAAATAGACAGGAGAGTGGCTCACGTTTGAAATTCAGATCCAAGTGGCCAAGAGAGAAATTTCACACTGAGCCACTTTTAGCAAGCCACTGCATGCCAGCTGCTACACACCAGCTGCAGACCCCAAAATGTGCATTCCTGCTGCCGCCCCATAATAATCCAGCTGACAGACACCAAGCTTGGGACTGGGATTTTTGTCCTAGAAGGGAGCACTCCACAGGTCCCAGTTGGGTCTGCATGGCAAGACTGGGCTGCAGCTGGGGAGACTGTCTTCCACCAGGCAGCCTTGAACACAGTGCACCCTTGCACCCTGGTCTTCTCTGCACCCGTTTGGGTCTACTTCTATCTGGGCTGTGGACTCAGTGTCAGGGAGGACAAAGCAGGGCACACTGACCCCTGGCATGAGCCCTGACAAGTCTGCAGAATTCTTGGTGTTCTGCATGGAGTGTCTGTCCAGATCAGACAGCACTTGCTATTTGTAGTAGGCTTCTGGTAGAAGAGGCTTTTTTTTGCTGTTTCATCCAGTAGCTCTTCTTAGTTTTGAAAACAGTGGAACTGTAGGATTTCTCTGTTTTGTACAGTTCTGCTTTGAGTTCAGTCACATGCCAGTTCCTGTACTGCTTCCATGACTCCAAACTTAAAATCTGGTATATAAAGAAAGTGGCCAGGGAAAGAACAAGTATATTTGATTTTGCCTCAATCAGGTAAAGAGTCAGCAAGAGTTTTGTTTAAGGTTTTGTTGTCGGAATTATTTGTTTATTTGTTTTGTGCAGTTGATTGTTTTTTAAGGAGGCACAGAGAGAAAAATTTTAAAAATCCACATTTTTCCTAGGAATGTGAAATTTCTGGTTTTGCTGGTAGGCTGCTGGAGATATGAATTTGCAGCTTTTTCAGTCCTTCCCTGGAGAGGCAGGAACACTGAATCCCTTATGAGACAGCCATCCTTCTAGCTGTCAGGAGTGTCTGTTGAATACATGCAATCACAAATGAATGCAGATAGTGTTATAAATGTAGTGAAGTCATTTTGCCTGTGCTTTGCTTGTATTTTGCCTTCTCAGAAGAGGGATATCCTTTCACAGGTAATTGGTAGAATTCTCCTAGTTGATCAAACTCAATAAAACCAGAATTTCAAATGCAATTAAAAAAGGGAAGAGGCAAGGAACACCATAGCTTTTCATTAAAAAAAAAAAGAGTCAATTCTAGGAACTCAAAAAATGAGTCAATACTATGAACATGCACATGAGAGGTGTGTGTGTTGGGGAAAGCTTGTGCAACACAGCATGAAGCTATTTTTCCTTCACACGATCCTTTTAAAACATGCTGTAAGCCGGAAGCTTTTGTCTTTCTAGATCTTGTGACTAAGACAGTATCAAGGAGTGCTGATATTTGCAGTAGAGACCTGCAATAAAAGTGCAGATGTTTAGAGGGTGGTATTTGGTGTGGGAGGGGAGGATGATCTTCCTTGCCTGTCAGTCTGGAGACAATAGCCAGTGTGGTATTTTAATTTTTAAGGTAATTAGACAAGGAAAGAGAAATGCCATTTAGTGTGTTCATAATGGTGGAATGAGCACTTTCCTGTTACCCTGCTCACCAGTGGTGTATCCTACTCGCATCACATCCCAGTAGCACAACAGCTATTGTCACATCTGGACAGTATTCCACAGTGACTCGAGCACCTCACCACAAAAACTAGTGATACAGTGGGGCTGCAGTTTTTCCTTCTGGCCAGACACTTGTCACAGCTCAGCAAATAATCCGAGCAGGTTGGACATGGCTCAGGGAAAGCACTTTCATAACTTTTCCCTTGGAAGTGGTAAAAACATCCATAATAAACAGGAATATTCCCTGCAGTGTCACTGTTCAAAGTAAGCAATAGCTGCAGTTCCTGATGCCAGAGCTCCCCTGGGGCTTTCCCCTGGTCTGTGCTTTCATTTCCTTCTCCAGCAACTTCCAACATGGCAAATCACCTCCCAGCTCTCTAAATTCCCCATACTGAAGTGCTTCTATGGGTCATGTTCCTTTTCTGTCATTACAATAGCCACCTTGCAATACCACAGTGCAGGAGGGCAATTCTTGAATGCCCAAAGTGCTACCAAGGTCATACAGAAGAAAATATTCCTGGGAGATATATTAGCCTACTATTCTTATCATCTAGTTCCTTGAAAGAGTTTCTAGTTTGCTTAAGAGTAAGACAGACTGTAATATCCCACTGATGAACACATTCTTTCTCTGAGGAGGAAGCTGCCTGTTTAAAGGAGGCAGTTTCCAAGGTTCTATTCAAAACTTGCTTTAACAGTGTACTGGTGTATAGCTCAATGCTACAGAGCAAACAAAGCTTTATTTCTTGCATGGAAGTTCAAACAACCAAAACGCTCTTGATTTTTCTCCTCTTCATATTGCATTTGTTCGAGTTTGCTGCTTGCAAGATATGTAGCTGTTGCTACCTGGTTTTACACAATTACATCCTGGGGCTTCCTTTCTATTTGGTGGATAAGGTGGATGGATGGATGCTTTATGGCCTGTAGCTTGGTATCTAAGTTAGTAGGAAACATTTTATACCTACTTTGAGAGCAAAATCAAAGGAGCTGTGGACTTTGTTTCACTGATATCACAGAAGGTGCTTTGGAGGGGGTTGTTTTTGCCATCTCAGAATGGGTGCATAACCCCGTTTTCTGGTTTATCACATGTTGAAGAATTACATACTTTTGCATGCTCATTCAGGAGGGGAGGGAGGAAGGACAGATAACAGTGAGGTTTGTTTGGAAAAGTTTGGAAGTAAGATTTATTCCTGTAATAGTAATGGTGTTCTCTTTCTCTCTCTCTCTTCCCTCCCCCACCTCTCTGTTCTCATTTTCCTTCCTCCTCCTCTGCTTTCCTTCTGCAGCCTCTGGAAACCTTCTCCGGAGTTCTCCTCACCCTCTCTGCAAAGGACGAGCCCCTCTGGCTCCCACTCAGACTCCTGAACTCTAGGGAACAACAGGCTGTTTTGATCCCGAAGCCTCTGCAAGGGCACAGATGCTCACACAGGTTTTTGACCAGAGACACACTCTTTAGCACGCAGAGATGTCTGCCAGCAGACATTTACACTCAGGAGCACATGAAGCACATGCTTAAGACTGCAGTGTGACACTCCAGCACCTCCCACCCCATGGTTGTTCACCAGAGCTGCCTTCCCCAGTGTGCTTCCATGGTTTGTTTTTTAGCCCTCCCTCTCTGAGGTGTGTCGGCAGCTCTGCTACCAAGGTGCAGAATCTGTGTTCCCTTTGATTAATGATTCCCATTAAAGTCAGAAATGAAACTACTGGTGTTTGAAGATTTGAAGAGGGAGATAACAGTGGGAGGGAGGATTTGAAGAGAAAGATCCCTTGAGGTGATCTCAAGGCACTGAGTGGAAAGGGCAAGGGAAAATTGGCTGCCTGGTGGCTTTGTTAATGTGCTTGCAATGGACAGTTTGATGATATGCATCTCACTGGGAATCCACTCTTGTAAGACCAGAAATTACTTTTCCAGGAGTTAGGATTTATCATTTATGAAAAGCACCACTTCTCAAAGAAGTTGGTGAAAAAAGGAAAGGTTGTTTGTTTGCATTAAATCATCTGGAATAAGAAAGGGGAGGAATTGGGACTGGGAACAGGTGTAGGCAAGAAAAAGAGCAGGAACCCTTTTTTTTTTTTGTACTCAAAGGGGAATCACCTCCGGTTGCACACATACCAAGTGAAAAAATGAATGAATACAAAATATCTGTAGGGAGAACAACCACTGTTAGGAAGTACAGTGTCTTAATGAAAATCGTGTGGAGATGGAAGGCCTCTTCCAAGTTCAGCTGCAACAGGATTTTTATGATGAGCTTCCCCAGCCATTTCCTCATCCAGGGAAATTGGAGATGGAAGTACGGGTGGAGGACCAAGGTACAACCAAGCTGTGCAGTGAGGAGCCTCTCCAGGGCAGATATTCGGGGAAAGAGCAAGGAGCATCCACCCATCCCTCCCTCAGCACAGGGCAGGGCATTCTTCAGTGCCTCTTGGCACAGACACGCAGGGACACAGCCATTCTGCCCGTGGGGCTGGCTTTGTGTTAGCCCTGGGCTGGTGGAGGCAGCCCCACACACCTTGCCCTGCTCACACAGGGGCTGTGGCCCAGAGGCCACAGATGCGTGGGATCCGTGGTGTACACAGCTCCTTGCACTGCTCGCCTTTGCTGTCACACCAGGGCAGAGGAATGGGGCTGCCCCAGGCCAGGGAATCATTCTGCTGATGGTTGTCCCCATGCTCTGTTGATACATTTGTGTTCAGCCTGACCCCACTGCCCTTCACAGCTAGGAAGTGTCTCTGGCAGATTGATATGAGAGCTGCTGGGGTCTCTTCTGCAAAGGAACTGAAATGCACAATGAAACTGGGGCCACCTGTCGTGGTGCTTTACACACTTGCCTGAAGCAGTGGACCGGAATTAGACACTGCCCTTCACAGCTGCCTGCTGAGCTTATAATCCAGTCTTCAGCAACAAGCTCCCTGGAAACTCTTCAGTCATGGAACCAGCTAACATGGATCTCTATCAGGTTGGCAGAGCCCAGCTCTATCCCTCTCCTGAGTGTGTGTTGGAGATGGTGTTTGCTAGCTGGCCTTCCAAACAGCCACATGCCAAGGCCCAAAAGCTTGGACGTGAGCTGAAAGCAGGAGCTAACCCTGCTGTGACACTGTTTAGTGAAGCAGTAGTGACAGATCACGACAAATGACTTGAGGCTTCTTCATGGCAGAAATGCCTTTAGCATGACCCTCTCTCCTGATCACAGAGTTCCTGGTGCACTTTCCTATCACTCAGTGAAGCCAGTACAGGGAACCAGAGAAAATGGTTAATAGAAAGTGTGATTTGTTGGCAGAAGTGATGAAAGACTTGTCACCTCTTTAATTTGCATACATATCATGGTGGTGGAAAAGGTGTGGGTGGGTGAGGGCTCTTCCTATGGTTGTGCATCTGATTGTAATCTTTCACCAATTATTTCCAGACCTCAACTACTTTTGCAGGTCTGAAAGGCTGTGCTGAGTTCCTGGGACTAATTTGTGTTAGGTGGCCCCACAGCTACTCCATTCTCCTCTTACCTTCTATTCTGGGCAGATGGTCAAAGCAGTGCAAAATTGGATGTGAGAGCACTGTGGTGCTCCTGGTGTCTGCTTCACTTCATGTGAGCTTCAGGGAGAACAAGCCAACCACCAAAAGAGTTGCTCCAGGCTTGTCAGGTAAGGAGATGCATTCTGATTACTTACTGAAGCACTAACATAAAATCAATACGGTCTCACTCTGAAAGGGTCTTAGAGATGGGACTAGTGAGTTTCCCATTGGAGTGCTGGGTAAGAATGACTCCTTCCTGTGCCAAACTTAAACCCCACCTTTTTTCTCTTGCTGAGGAAAAATACTACCTCTCACCTTTAGTATGAAGATTTCAGGACATTTTCTTATAAAACACAAATGAATCATACCAATACTCCCACTGTACAAAGAGTATATTATCTCCTCCTTCTTTCACATAGATACAAACATTGAGATAAATGACTTGCCTGTCTCACTTTCAGAGCTGGCTACAGAACCTGGGAGATAAAAGTTCAATCCAGTCTTTTAACTGAGAGGTTTTGCTGTAACCAGTTAACCTTGTACTTGCTGACATTCCACACACTTCTTTTTCTTGATATCCTGTCCCCATGCAGGGAGCAAGACACCCATCCAGATTTATGGTGAAAGTATCACCTGTGAGCAGAGAGCAGCAATAGGTTTAGGACTCCTTTCTGGTTTTCTGTATCCCAAAGGCAGTGCTAGGCACAAGCAGTGGGTAGGTCATAGGAGATGTCTGTTTTGCTGGGGAGAGTGAGGTTCCAGGGCAGGCATGACATTGTCCGGCTGTGGGAAGAGCACAAAGAAGTCAGGCTGGGCATCAGCAGGTGGAGGTTGCTATCCTAACACAGAACCAAGCAAGGTGCTGGTGGACCTGGTTCTGCTTTGCAAGGATATAGTGAACAGGGTGCTGTGCCCTGGCTGGGATAAATTGGCTGGAAGGGTACATATGAGGTTGTGTCCTTCACCTTTCCACCGCCCCCTCCTAGCAGCACCATTGTTGCTCTGAGTGCTTCCAGTTTAGTGATGGGAGCAGTTTAAACCTGTGCAACTCTACAGCTTTCTACCTCTGTCAAAGCCAAGTGCAGTGCTTCCAGGGGTGCAGGTTAGCACATCCTTAAGGCAATATGGCTTGCTGTCCCATTCATAAGTGATAAAAGCCATGCATCTGCACATCCATCCCAACTTTGGGGTGAAAACATGCTAGTAAGGAATAGTCCTTATACTCAAGGAAGTGCCTGGTATTTACATAGGAATGCTTTTTTTCCCCTGGGCCTACTGGATGTATTTTTACTGCCGAGACCTTGAGGCTCCTTACTGCCCATCAAAACAGAATTTCAATGTGAGCCCAATTTGCCTTCTGGTTTTCCCTGCTTTGAAGTACCCAGTAGCTTGCTTCAGCCTGGAGTCAGCATCTCAGAAGCAATGTGGACAGAGTTTAATGTGTCAGTATTGACCCAGCTATTTTGTCCTGCCTGCAAGAACTTTGGACCTGCAAAATGCCTGGCAAGAATACTATATTATGGAGAAGACCATTATCTCTCTCAGGATGAGAAGGACTTGGCTGCATTTACTCCAGAAAGGGTAACTGTAGCTGAAGGTATATACTCTACAATGTCTGGCCTAGAAGATGCCAAAACGGTTGTCTATAGCCTTAGGGCTTTTAAACCTTCCTGTATAAGAAGCAGAAATATATTACTGGTCTTCTGCTGTCTCATCCTGAAAAATGTTCACCTGTCATGTTTCAGATGGGGGCCCATTTTAGACAGGGGAAGATGGAGAGGGCAAAGAAGGACAAAAGGAATAAATTCTAGTTAGTACAAGCTTTTGCCATGGTTTGTGACTTAAGTAGCTTCAAGGTGATGTGAGTTGCAGCCATTTTCCTTCCATGGTACAATGCTTCTATCCTGGGGGAAGAATTTTAGAAAACTAGCTTGGTAGCTTTTCTCTTTCACAGACAGAAAACGAGTTACATAGGGACACAGAGGTGATGGGAGAAACCTCTTTACTTGTTTATCCAAAAGGGAGAAAGAATGCATTGTTTCAAACCACAGGCTGCATCCATAAGGCTTAGTGTCTCCCCGTAAGATATTCCTCTGACTCACCTACTATTGAGAGGCAGCGGCGCCACACAAAACTTGCCAACAATGGACGGCTCATCCCTTCTCCAAAACCGTTTTTTTGGGATATACTTCAGTGTCACGCTGTTTATTTGGCAGAGGGGAACTTGGTGGGCCAGCAGCCGTTTGCCCATGTCCTGGTACGCAGGTCTGCAAGGCGGGGTGAGAGATGTGAGGGAGAACGTTCAATCAACCTGCAGGTGCAAGCCACGTGCAGATCCATGGAAACACTGGAGGAACCTGCAGTATTATTGTGAAGCACTCACATAATAAAACGGAGTGAGAAGACTCATCTGTCAAAACAGGGCATTGCATGAGCATTTTACGGGCTGTCTCTCCATGTTTTATCTTTGTATGTATAGAAATATTTCTATATAAATATCCTTCCTTCCATCACACAATTACAACCACTCTTCTAGCTGTTGCATGTAGATTGAAACATTGCTCAGCTTGCTACAGAGAGGTAAGTGCTACATAGATCAACATCCATGAAATTGTGAATGGCATGGATAGGGGCCAGTTGTTCACCATTTCTTCCAATACACAAACTAAGGGTCATCAAAGAAAGCTAAGAAGTGGCAGGCTCAAAAAGATTGCACACGCAGAGTACAATTTCAGCTGTTAAAATCCTTGCTGTAGGACGTTATGAATGCTAGAAAGTTTACGTGGCTGTACAAGTCATGGGAGGGGGACTGGACAAGTTTGTGGAAGACAAAAGCTAGTAACGATAAAGATCTCACCTTTTGCTCTGAAAGTCCCTGAGATGTAGTGAGACAACAGGAAACTCTTTGGGGAAGTATTGCTACCTGCTTACACTAACATTTTTTATACTCTTCTCTAGGTATTTGCTTTTGATCATGTTGAAGGTGGGATGCTTGGTAGAGGGACCTTTGTCTGTCCCTATGCTCTTACTGAGGTAATGTGAACTGAGCAGTGACAGAGGCTTGGTGAACAGACAATGATCAGAACCCAGCTGGTCATGTGTTACAGAAGTGTGCTGCCCAGACATTTTAAGTCCCTTCTGTGGAGTCCATCCAATGGGCCTTACACTTGATCTGCCTGGGACCTCTGAGAGCCTGGAGATAATTGATTTCCCTGTGCTCATGAAGAATATGTGTGTAGCTGACTTGGCACGATCCCAGAAGCACCTGGGTGGCTGCCTGATGGTAGGAAAAGGGGAGAGATGACGAAAGGGTCAGGAAGAGCCTACAATTCTGCTACCCAAAGTAGCTCCCGGGAGTGGGCTGACAGCTGCACTCACAGCATCCTCCAGCCAACCCACACCAGTGCATCCAGTCCCTCCCTTAGACTGCAGTAGTAGTTGCTGCAGGTTTTGTGTGTCTGACTGTGTCTGCCTTGAAGTTGCTTAAAATAGGAAGCATCACAAGATTATGGTTATAAAAGTGAAAAATGGATAGTAAACAGATAGCAAAAGGAGGCCATCTCTCTACTGCGTATTATCCATGGGCAGGACCCAGCCCTGCCCTAGGGCAGAGGAACACAGTACAGCTAAGCAAGTTGAAGAAGTCACTCTCAGGACTGACACTTGGTCCAACCCTGCAAAACCTTTGGATGGATGTAGGAGTCTTGGCTGGCTTCAGAAGTATGTTTTCTTGGATATAGGGGATAATGTCATATGATGTGTAAGAAAATAGTAAATGCAGTTGGGAAGTGTTCTGTGTTACAAGTTCCTTACTCATCAGCCCCGTGTCAGCTATTGAAGCTTGAGGACATGTCTCTTGGGGCACTCTGTGCACTGTGTGGGGTAACAGCATCCTGAAGAGTGAGATTGGAATTGATATTTGGGAGAGGAGAAGAGCAATGTGAGGAAAGTCACAACCATGTGAGTTGTTGAAGATTTGAGACTAGCTGTAAGTCCCTCTGCACTTCTAGGAAACAGCAGGATGATATACATGTCAGATTATCTGAAATAAGTCAGTGATCGATCAGTGTCTGAACTGCAGTGTGAGGATCTATGTTTAGATGCCCATTTGATACTCTGAGCTTGACTGCACTGGAAGACTGAGCTTTGCCTAGGGTGGGGAAATTTGCCCTTTGCTACTAGTGGGAATTAAAATTTTATACTCTCAAATCGGCAGGTTTATTGATGTAAGCAAATTTTTCAGTTTAGCCATGTGCTTCTTAGGAAGGCATTTAAATGAAACAGAGCTACTCTTCCCCCAGGGTTTCTCTGGATAGTTTACCCTCCTAAACTCCACTGCCTCATTAAAACCGGAGGGTACAGCAAAGCCTCGGGATTGCCTGCCTGGCTCACTTCCTCGGGCAGCCTTTCCCTCCAGTGCTCCCATGCCTCCTGCTGGACACACACACCAAACCCTGTGTCTGATAACTGCAGAAGTGCTGTACGGATCCTGACCTAAACTAGGTGTTACTATTTCCTCCCTCCTGCATCTGTGGAAAAGGCAGATTTGGCTTCCAAGCAGGGAGGAGTTGAACAGACTGAGCTCCACCAGGCTGGAGTACAAACTCCATATTGCAGTGCCTGAACGGAAATCTGTGACCAAGCTCACACTGGAGAGTACCCTAGAGCGTTGCTTCTCCTTCCCCGTTTCTCATCCCTACCTCCTGGTGCTCCAGGACTGATGCTGGGGCAATTAGCTTCAGGTCACAATGTTTTGGCTTAGCAGTAGGGACTGTGTGGGAGTCAGCATTGGAACCCCTCTGATCCCAGGAGAGATGGCTGAGGCTCTTTAACAGGCTGCTTTCCTGCTTCCTGAGGCAGCCAGCAGCAAGTGTCAGCTGCATTGTGGTTCCCAGTCCACAGTAGTGGGCAGGAAGGTGTAGGAAGAAGTGAAGAGGGAGTTCCTCTGTGGTGGGGAGAATCCCCTGTGGTAAGAGCTGCGGAACAGGAGTGTGGTCCTTTAATTCAGATAGTTTGGAGAAGGATGGTGCTTTCAAGAGAGATTTTTCTGCCTACGCAGGTCCCCTGCCCCCGGACTTTTCCCTGCAACAGGAGCCTGAGAGCATTGCTGCATCACTGCAGAGGCAACAAGCTACTGAAGACATTTCTGCAGAAATGCACTTTCCTCTTTGCAACCTCTGTCCTATCAGGTGTCAAGAGAAATGTCTAAGCCACCAAGTTCATCAATCTGGACGCTCTGGTGGATGTGTCTTGCTGTAGTCCTCTCTGTCAGGTAGAATAGGGTTAATAACTATCTGACAGTGACTGGGGTTAAAATTGGCACCAGGTAAGGGTATGGTGTAGAAAAGGAACCTGTATAGCCACACAGAAGTATACAAATCTGGGGATCCCAGAGTATTCCTACTGCTTTGTACAGTCAGGGAAGGCGTGGACCTAGTCAAGGTTACTGAGTAATGGTAGCACGTGCCTGATTCTTCAGGGCATTTAAGGTAAATGTGTAGGGTCTCAAGAAGAAAGATTGTGGTTCATCACTCAGGGAAATATGCTGTTATTGTGTCTTTCCTGGACCAGGATGAATATCCTTACACATGGAGCCAGGAAAAAACAGGCCAGAGAAGCATGCACGGTCACTCACATGGTGATCTCTGCTGTGTCCTTGGTGCTGTTGCTGAAGAAAGTGATCTCAATGCTGGTGACTGTGCTTCTTTTCTTCTGCAAGTGGAACTCAACCAGGCTGTGATAGACTGAGCAAAAAGCAAAGTGTGTGGGAGTGAGGGCAGGTACTACCACTTGGGCCTACCCATGCCAAAAGAGGGGCTCTAGCACTCATTCCCTGGCCCCACCAGCAGAAAGAAGGTTCAACAGACATAAGAAGGAATCTACTCTCTGTGCTATGTGAGGCACAGGGGGCATGTCTGTATAGTCCAGTGTGAACAGACAGGTATTTTCAATCCCCTTTACTTTACTCCTGAAGCCATGTGGCTCTGTTAGCCCAGGGCTGTGCCCACTTGATAAATCTGTTGAAAGGGCTTTATGGGAGAGATATGCAAGGTTATTGCTCTTCAGCTGTGCGTCTCAGACTCTCTGGGCCACAGCAGCTGACTGATGGAGATAGTGTGTTGTAACTACCTGGGCTCCCCAGAGGATCTGCCTTATTTGGTCAACACCCTTCTGACATTTTTTTCTCATTCTACTTACCGCAGAATGGGGCTGAAGGACTGGTCATTAAATAAACTTTCACTTCCTTGGGCAGCTTACTCATGTTGACACCTGCCTGCTCCAGCAGGCCTGTAGGAAGAATTAAAGCCAGTGCAGGAAAAGCCATGAATGACACAGAACAGAAATATAATCTATAAATCCACTCACCCTGCCCAACTCCCCTGTCTTGGGGAATGGATCCCTTTTTCATACCAGTGCAAATCAGAGCAAGTACAAGATTGTGGTGTCTGACAGATTCCCGCAGAAAACCTATTCTGTCTACCCCTGTAATCATCACCAGAGAACTTCTTGGTGGCTTTTTTTCATTATTCTGCTAACGAACTGTGCTATCAGTTGCGTCTGTGCAAAATTAGCAGGACTAAAGACTACCAAGTCAGGAAACTTAGTGCAGATGTAAATGACAGTGCAAACGCAAGGTGTGGGGAAATTTAATTTGGTCAAGTGAGAAGACCACCATAACTTGAGGCCTGCACCACTGGCTAGCTGGCAATAGGGCTTGGTGAGGTGGGGAAAGGGTGGCTGATATGAGGGAATTTATGCCAAAAGAGGCTTCTCTTTGTGTTCCTCTGGTACCATGCTGCAAATAGCACCAGAGGACACTTTCTGCTGTCATTCCACAGTCCAGTTTCAGAAGCCTAAAAGAGGCATCTATTACCTTCTCCCAGTCCAGGGAGCTCATCTTTGGGTAACCATGGCAGAAGTTTATGAAAAGGAGGTGGCTCAGCAACGAGTGGTGTAGAAGAATGGGACTTCAGGCTTGAGCTAAAATTTCCAGCTGCTTCTCTAAACAAGACATTTTTTTGAGGTAATTGCCCACTTATTAGGCAGGTGATTCTGGAAACTCTTTTTCAACTCATCTGTGGGGCCTATGAAATGTTCAAGATTTTGGTGTTCTACCTCAGGCAATATATGAGCTTTTATAATGTCTCTATAGAAGCCTGAAAATGAAACAGCTTCTCACTCTTTCCAAAGAGATCTAAAGCAAATCCTGCTCAGAGAAATCTGAACTGCATACTGTGCTCTGCACTGATACCCATCAGGAATGCATTGTCATCTGCTCCAAGAAAGTCTCATGCTATTACTGTACCTATTCTGGGACAGGAGGACAGGAAGCGTTCTGCACAGTCCAGGCAATGACCATTTAAAAACTCTTGATGACTTGCACAGGGAAACCCCACGATTGGACAGGAATGTTTCAAAGCGCTGATATAGAGATGTACAGCCCGCATGTGATCACAGATCAGGTAGTTATAGCCTGCAAGGAAAACTTCAATCAAAGAGAAGCAGCCATGAGCCCTTCTGATGGCTTCAGTCTTTTTGCACATTCCCAAGGAACTGAGAGGCAAGGAACACTCTTACTGATTCTGTAATGATCCCTTTCCATTAATAAAATTTCGCAGAGCATCTCTATGACTACAAGCTCAGATCCCACTGCAAGAGAAGTTATGCAGGAAGTTAGAAGTGCACCTCCCAGATTAATGGAGTCCCTCCAAAGAGGAGGACCACAGGGCTGGCATATCTCCATCAGTGTACCATTGATGAGGTCCCAAACTCTCTGCAAAGCAGTAAAGTAGCTTTGATTCCCACCTGCACTGGAACCCCAGCTATGGGAAGTGAGGTACCATAGATGTCCCATGTAACATGACCCTCAGTGCAGCTGACTCATACAGAACACATTTGAATGTTGAATGAATCCACACCATTTACTACGTAATGTCCTATTCTCTAGAAGGAGAGGGCAGTAATTGTACAAGCTGCCCAAAAATTGACACAGCTTGCAGCATGAAAACAAAAAGAAGCTTTTTCTAGTGGTACCTAACAGCCTTTCTAACAAAAGTGTCATCTCTACTGATGCCAGGGTTTTGGCTTAGAGAAGTGTCACTAAAATCACATCTCTTTACAGGGGTGCTGCCAAGATGCTTGATCTGTATGTGATTTTAATTTCAGCTGGTTCTTGTACTGCTGAGATGTGGGCCATGAATACATTTCTCTCGCTTTGCTGTCTGCCCTGGCTGTAGCAGGAGCTGCTTGCCAAACAGCATTTTCACAGTGTGCTAAATGGCCTTTTACTTGGCCAGAGAATGTTCTCACCTGCAGAGATGAATCGGGGGCATCCTGGCTGATCTTTGCCTCCATTGACAAAATAATCGATGTGGCCTACAGGAATCCGGATCCCGAAATCTGAAAGGAGGTGAAATGCTGCTTCATTCTCAGACTTGGCTCTTCTGTAGGCTTTACCCTACATGTTTATGACAGGTCCCAATAACTGGTTGAACATCAGTAGTGCTGGAGCCAGCTCCAGTGCTGGAGACATCAAGGCCAGATTTCCTGCTTCTGCATGCCTACATTGCACAGGTTTGCTGCATGGAGCAGAGAGTGCTCCAGCCCCTGCCATTAAAGTGACTGGGAACAGTGGCTTAACCACCACCTCAGCTACTCTGGTTCTTGATTCTATGTAAAGGAGAACAAAACTGACCACAACCTTAATGTGGGATTATGTAGCGTAATTGAGAGTTATGTTGGTAGAGGTTTCCCTGATCTCCAGACAAAAGGCGTGACTAAAAGACACCACATTATTCTTCAGCACAGGTTCTGCCTACGAAGACCTTAAGTGCTTTAGAGAAGCTACTTTGCTGTTGCACCAGCTGCTGGTTTGGCTCTGTTACTTTCTGATAAGCACTCTCCGTGGTACCTCTTTTACATCAGGTGGGAAAAGGCAGAGTAAGACTAGATATATAAATTCCTTCCAGGTGGTAGAAGTCATGCCAAACCAGTTCTGCATAAACTGACTCTGCTGTAGCAATCTCCACTTGTCTGTTGCTTGAAGTGCTCTGGGGTATAAATTCATCTTAAGCCTATCTAAACAAGAAACTTCCTTATAGTGAACCTGAACTCATGGTAGTCTGGCAAAAAAGGGACAATGACCTACAGACTCCTTAGCAATAATGATGTCAGGAGGAACAGAATCCCAGGCTGAAGAAGATGGAAGCCAGCTTACTGTCAGCATCGGTATGAATGGCTTCCACAAAGAGGGCATCCCCAGGATCCAGGCGTTCCTCAGGGCTGGCTCTGGTGTACTTAGGGCCTGCAGGATCCAGGGCTGTAACAAAATCAAACATCTCAACAACAAGTACTCTTCAGCCCCCTCTTTCTTGTTTCTGGACCAGTTATTTTATCCAAAATGTTAAAGATGTTGCTAGGCAGCAGTAATAAATTATTCCCAGGTCACACTAATTACTGAATCATATACTATTAAGAGGTTGGAATGGACCTTAAAGATCATTTAATCCCAACTCTCCCATGCTCCAAAATAGTATCTGCCATCTCTAACTTCCATTGCAGCTTCATTGCCTTGTCATGCAGTATTCCACACCCCTTTAGCAGTGTTGTGTCTCAAGTTTCTAGGCTATAAAGCCAGGACTGAGCTTCAAATACCTCTGTCAGAGTGAGTGCATGGTGTTTTTTTGATTTTTGATGAAAGAGAATCAAACTTTTAATACCTTCCCTAATTGTAATGTCATCTGTATTAGCACTACTGTCTGAGAAATGGCACTGAAGATCAGCAGTTAGGTGATGAATTCAGCACCCCAGGCATTAGCCAACCCAAGCACTACCAAAGTTTCATACTATCAAACAATTTTAAAACAGAGGCTTCTGAGCCCTCTCCCCACAAATAAAATTGAGTCTTTAGCAATCATCTACGTTTTTGCCTAAAGCTTGCTCCTAGAGGAACTTCTAGGGATTCAAAGGAAAACAGTTTAAAATTATCCTTGGCAATACCAAGGAACAGGTTAGAGGTAATTTTTTCTGAGGTTTATCCTATTCACTTTTTACAGAAAAGTAACCTCACAAGATTTTTTTTTCCCTCCCCAGGCAACAACAGTTCAAGAAGCAGCTCTGCTCCACATGCCACTTAGCCTCAGAGCTGGTTGGTTTCACTGCTTTGACTCAGTCCCCTTAATTCTCTATGGAGAAGGCAATATCAACAGTACCCAAACTGATGTCTCTGTGTTTTTGAAGGCAGAGAGAAGGAGGAAAAGGAAAAGAAGGAAAAAACATTATTTCCTATTCTTTCTATAAATAATAGCTAACAATGGATCTTTAATGTTCTTTAATCTTGATACATACCAAAAGCTGAGAGGTTCCCCACCCATTTCTACAGAACAAGTTGCACTTAAAAGCTTTCAAAGATACTGAAAGATGTTATTTGCTATAGCCTAAATTTCTTCCTGAAGAGGGAGAAATGCCTAATACGAGCACCAGTCAATTCCAACAGAGCTCCAGGGTAAGCACCTTTCTATCCTCTATTCTCCATCCCTACCTCCTCCAAGCACATGCACAAACTCCACTGAGATGTACATCCTCAGCAGCTAAGAAAACTATTCACTGAAGCTAAACAGTATGCAAACAAATTCCTTTGGGCTTTTTCATTTCCTCTGCGAGTATTGAAACAAATTGCTCTTTTCTGAGTGCTTGCTTTTGGATAAGGGCCATTTAATCCAGCTCCTATATAATTTGCTTTCTTGCACACAGAGATATCCACTAGAACAGGCATGTGTTAAAGAAACTCACTTCACAAAAATAAAGTCTGTGCTCTAATCCCCAAGACTTGCTCTGGTTTTGCTCCACACAGCATTTCTTACGTGACTGAAAATACATCAGCTAATTGTGGCTCTGGGATCACATTCCCCTGTGAGTGTATGCATGTGTATGAAGAGGCAGGAGATGAGATCACACGTATCTTGGATCTAATCGCACCTATCTTCAGGTTCTTAAATCTGAATTGGAATCTGCAATGCTCAGTGTGCCTGTGAAATCATAGGACAAACAGAAATGAGGAAAAGGGATTGTATTCTAGTAGAGTTAAAAATGAACAGAATAAATAAATTTACAGAGCTTTTATTACATTAGACAACATAAAGGGAAAAAGTCCTTAACTTTGAAGTTAATTACCGTGGTTTCGTGGGAATGTGTCTGCTTCTGCTCATCTGAAGATGTTGCTGATCATAAAATCCTGGTGCAGGACAGTGGCTACTCCAATTTCCTCCTAATGTAAACTTTGATTCACAGCTTAAAAAAGGGCCCAACATGAAACTCAAGTCCTCTTAAGAAATGCCTGTATTTCATACAGTGTGGGTAGTTATGACACGTGAAGGCTGAGCCAACATTTCCTGGGACTGCCCTGCCAAGTGTGCAGTGAGATCCTTCTTGAGGATACCTCTGTGAGACAGACTAGCAAGGGCTGAGGCAGACTGGGAGCTGTGGTCACACTACTGCAGACTTTATGTCTGCTCCTTCTTGGTGGCATTTTCCCTCCTATCAAAATGAATCTCTGTCCTTGGGGATTCCCAGAATTTAACAAAACCCTAGACAACCCGATATGACTTACAAGGCAGCCACACTTTGAGAAGGAGGGAGGGGTGGTGGTTATGGTGTGTGGACTAGAGACTTTTCAAGGTCACTTCTTACCTAAATAATTCTGTGAGTCAATTTATGCTTTATAACTAAAGGCTGACAAGGCCCTGAGTGGATCAAAAACTCCAAATGGCAGGATCAGCCTATAACCATCTTGCTCTGTAATTCCCCCACTTCAACCTCTTCCTCACACCCAGAAGCCTGGCTCTCTGTGTTTAAGGTCAGCTCTGACTTGGTACAGCTGTGTGGCCTCAGACCAGCCTACTGTGAAAACAGCAGACTTGTGGGAGAGAACAGCAAGAAGCCTCATCTAGGTCCTCCCAACATTGGCTCAGGCTCTTGACTGTGTTCCTTGGCTGAGCTGTGTTGTAGGAATGCCATGCCCAGCCCTGTGTCCTGCTGGTCCTGCTTTTATCTTGCTGACTTGACTTCCCAGCTTGACCTTGGGCTTGTCCTATCACTACAAACTTGCCTAGTGATCACTGGACTGTGGATAGCCCTGGCTCCTGTCACTGGACCTGCTCGGCTCTTCTTGCCTGGACATAGTAGGACTGTGTCCCTTGGCAGTGAGGCCACTGCCACTGCCTACCTTGCTGTCCCCTTGGCTCTCAGCTCACGTTTTCCTGCAGAGCGGCTCACTCTTGCTGCTTCCCCCACAATGAATTGCATTGTGGGCTTTAATTTTTAGAATCATACAGGTGTACATGCTATAATTTGGAAGCAAGGCATGTGGGTGTTGTGGGTTTTCACTGGTCATGAGACCTCATATTCTTCTAAGCTGGCACCAATTTGAAGAGTGGAGCAGAGTTGGAAGGACCCTTTTGCAAATACATGCATTCTTCTGGCATCGTGGAGGGGACTGACGACTGGAAAGTCACTGTTAGAGTCTTCTGGAGCTGGGAAGAAGCCCATAAGCTCAAACCTAATGAGCCCTTATGTAATTAAAAGGCCACTCCGAATGACCCCCCTTTCCTCGCTCTTTCATTCTCCCTCTTGAAGAACATGTGAGGATCCAAGACTCAGTTTTATGATACCTGTTATCCGTCCCAGCTGACCGCCATGGAAGTGCCCCACCAGGCCCCCAACGTGCGCACCAAGGCTTACCCCAATGATGTGGATAGATGTCCTTGAGACCCCCAGGGCCTGTAGATTTACAAAAATACAAATTAATGTTTCTGTAGCAGAAAGGTGAAATACCCTGTCCCAGCCCACACAGCAGCTCTGTAATTCTTCTAATGTAGAATTACTTGTGAGCTGTACAATGGAAAACCAAATAGGTAAGGGTTAACACAAAGATTTATCATCCTCACTGCAAAAGTGTTGTTCAGCCATGCTGTGCAGGAACAAACTGGGTGGGGCACATCTGGGTATTTCCAGCTGCTCAGGTGTATATCTGAAGCCCAAAGCAAATATAATACAGCCTCAAATCTCATTCCCTCCAGCTTTCTGGACAAAATTTCTGAGCAGAAGACTGCCCAGTGAAGTATGGATCTGAGAAAACCCAAGGCATGCTTTAGGTTTGTCTTGGGCTGGAGAGGCAGCTGACAACTGGGATTTTTTCCAGCAAATGTCAGAACTCAAGAGAAAGAAGAAAAAGGGTGTCACGCTCAAGCCTGGACTAAGAGAGGGGAAAAAAAGAAAACTCTGGAATAAAAAGCCCACTTGGCCAGCTCCTGGAGACGGCAGATTGGGAGCAGTTCTCTGGATTGTTGGCATGAATGATGTCCTCCGGCCGTGAACCCACACACTGGAAATGCGTAGTAGCCTTACCAGGAGCTTGTTGATGAATTGTGAGATGGAAAGGGCCAGCTCTGTGACATTTTCCACTGCGGAAGGATAGGCTCCCGTAGACCCATAAACCCAGTCTACTGCGATCACGTTCACCCAGCTTGTGTTCAGTATGGCTTGGACAAGCCCTTCAATCCAGGAGGGCTTGGTACCCAAAGCCCTGTGGAAACATCAGAAACAAGTATGTTAGGTGTTTCCAAAGAAGGGCACGTGCCAGTATGTTGTTCACTGGTGCTGGAGCTTCACATGTCTCAGAGGAGGCTGCCAGACAGTTGCTGAAAGTTATTTCTGGTGTTAGACAGCCACATCTGGAATTTTTTTTTGTGGTAGTGTAATAATACTTTCCAGAATGCACTGATTCAGGAGGTAACCAGATATTTTAATGAATGATATAATATTTGCAGGGTTCAGGCTGAGATCTCAGTCTTGCTGTGGTGCTTCATTCAGCCACCACAGAGCCCACCTGGAGTAAGTGAGCTGACCAGAAACACCGGGATCCTTCTCTGATACCAACTCGCAGGAAGTCCTTGGCCAAATCACCTAGTCATTCACTGCTATGTTTTGTGATCTCTAGACAGTTTAAAAAAAAAATCAATATTCAAGAATTCAAGGCCAACTGAGGAGGCTATGTTCTACCCACTTTTCCTAATACCATCTGGTGAAGTGTGTGGTATGTCATGTGGAGGCAACAGCTGGTTTTCTGAAAAGACCCTGCAACATCTGCTGTGGTTTCATCCTGGTCTTTTATGCACTTTATATTTAGGCATTTGCATTTCAAAACAAATAATGTTATATGGTCACATGTGAGTGAAAAATGGCACAGTGAAATAAGCTTGCAGAATGATGGCAGTTTCAAGAATAGAAGTATAATGTATCTGCTGGGGCTTCTAAGTGGCTCATTAATCCAAGCTATTGGACATGAACTCCAAGAACACAATTTAAAGTGACAAGAATCTTGAATAAAAGACTTTTTAATTAAAAAGTTGAGAAAAGGAAAGAAATAGGAAAAGGTAAAGAAAAAGACAGTGAGAGAATGAGAAAGAGAGTGAGATGGCAGGAGAAAATAAGAAAGAGATTGATTCTAATTTCTAACTTTTTTTAGACCCCAAAAAAGTGAAGCACACACAAAATAGGCAACTGATCACAAACTAAAGGACTTCAAGTGGTGGTGTAATGAGGGGTGCCAGGAGCACGTTCCATGCCTTTGGCCTCAGCCTACCAATAGCCTCCCAGACAATTCCCAAGTCCAATTGGGGCTGAGCACCCCAGCTTCTGTTCTTAGCAGGTGTTCTGCATGCAGCCACTCTGCTGAGAAAACGAAGACGGTGATACAAACAGGAGAGTTCCATACCAGCCCCACCCAGTGCTTGGGAATGCCCCAGCAGTGTTTAATTTCCCAGTAAAAATTTAGTCACAGTGCTCTTCTTCCTCTCACCTGAAGCCATGGATTATGATCTTGGTTTCTGAGCTGCTATTGAAGCTGCCATTCTTGATGCCATCATCAGCTAAAATCAGTTCTCCACAGCTGGGGCTTGAGGAGGTGAACAGAAGAAACTGGACCTTAAGTTTACTGCCCCGTAGGAAATTTGTCAGTGCAGTGGTGCTCTGAGAGTCTGTCTGTATTCCCTGCAACAAGAGGGAGTGAGTAGAACATTTAGTCTGTGTTCTGTGTAATGGAAAAAAAAACAACCCTCATTCTAATTCATTAGGAAAATGAAGGTAACAATTTCACCTCTATTGATAAAGATTAAAAAGTTAGAACATAAATTAAAATGAGTCTATTTTGGAAATTTTACCTGACTGACAAGTGGTTTCTTTGTCCCTTAATGGAATTCTGGCACTGGCTGGAGAAGATAACCATGGATCTCATAGTAGCTTTGACTTCTGAGACTTGTTTTACCAAAAGGTGAATAACATCCTGTTGAGTTTTTTTTGCAAATTGGCCACACAGACCAGGCACTAATTCCATTTTTGAGGTGGCTATTAGATCTTTAAAAAAATGGTTGCCAACAGGTAGGCACCACTGAATGGGGATATTTCTATTCAGATTCAGGTAGGCTTAGTAGAAGGTACAAGTCTAACTGACAGTTGTTTCAAAAATCCAGAAATAAATATGAAAATGCTGATGAAAAAAAAGTGTCAATGATAATTTCCAGATTGATTCATTTACTGGATTAAAATGCTTTATGAGAAAGAGAAGGCAGCTGCTGGAAGACACTTTGTTCTAGATGGAAAAAAATCTCAGACCTGTAGCTAGTAAAAATCTCAGCAAATTTAGGCTAGAAAGCAAACATAGAAGTTTAGCAGTATGTATGACTAGCAGTATGTGTGCCACTTTATGAACTGGCCTAGTTACATCCTTCTGCAATACAATGCATGCACCTTCCCTTTTCTGGACTGGAGGAAGTGAAACAGCCTTGAATCAGCACATACAATAAAACATTTTATTTGTTTAAAATCAAACAACCAGCTCTTCCTAATTTCTCTTAGAAGATACTTTACACCAGCTAGGCAGAACATGGCCTAAGGTGCAGCACAAAGGGGTGAGATTCACTATGGGACATGACTATTCCTTACTGTTTACTTTGGTCTTCCTGTGTACCGAAGGCAACAGAGAAAGTGGCATTCTTAGAAACCAGCTTGAAAAAGATGAAAGTCGTGAGCCAGTTTAACTAGCAAAGGCAGGTTTAGTGCAAGCACAGGGTGTGTCAGAATAGGTAGGATGAGGGGGATCATGAGCAAAGGTAAGGCAGGGGGTGGATTGCAGTGAAGCTGAAGGTGATGTGGGACTGTAGTGGTGATCACAAAAGGAGTTTAACTGACAGTACAGTTAAAGAAAGAAATGGAAGCCTGGTGTTTGTTTATTTCCTCCCAGCTACTGCAGATTACACTTGCTAAGCTTTCAAAGCAGGAGATGCCAGTGCCAGAGGTCAAATGGTCCCTTTTCTGCTTCCTTATACTTCAGGTAAACCTGGATCTTTCTTGTAAATCAGGTTAGTGGAATTAAATCACTGAGACTGATTGATTCAAAGCACAGGAGAAGAAAGGACCATTCTTGCATTGCCTGTTCCCTGGCAGTTAACAAGATTATTTCAAGGACCTCTTGACACACGGGTTGTTTTGGGAGAATTGAATTCAGATCCTTCTATGTAAAACTTTCAATCCCTTGCCAGAGAGTCATGTTTTTCTTACCTGCTTGTGCTGAGCTGAGCAGCCAGAGGACAGCAAGAACAACAAGCAGTAGCCTCTTCAGATCCTCAACCATCTTCCTGGTAATTAACTACAAGTACAAGGATTGTACAGGGGAAAAACAGCTATAGTGGGTTGCTCGATCAGCTTGACTCTGTTAATGATCAACCAGCCTGTGATCTTTCGGGAAAAAAGCAAAGGGACAACTACCTCTGCTCTTACTTGACCATAAGCCAAAGTGTGAAGCAGAGGTTTCACTGACTTTTTGGTTAAAAAGGATGCTGACACTCCTTTCCTTCCTTGAGGCAAAATTCCTCCTTCAGGAATTAGCTAGTGAAACCAGTCGGAGCAAGTGATAGCGTTAGAGTGCTTTGTCAGACTTTTCTGCCAAATTCTGACTAGGGATGCTGGTTTTTCAGAGGGCTTTACAATCAGTCCATGTCAGGAAGATTCATACCAGCCTTGCATCTGTGTTTCTTCCTTTTGCATTACTCTCTCTCTGCTGTATTTCTACTTTTGGTCACATACCCATAATAGTCAAAAGAAGGCAAAGCAGTGGACTACTTCTGAAAAGTGAGGGGGAAAATGGTCTAAAATGTTACGGTGGCCATATCACCATAATAAGCCCAGACTGTACATTTCTTAGGGCAGGGACAGCCTTCATTTTTCCTTTGGTTTGCATTTCAGGTACTAAAGGAAATAAAAAGATGACCTCAGTAATGCATCAGTATCATAAACATGCAAACACTTTAAAAAGACCTTTGAATAAAAAAATTTACTGCTTTGATGTATACAGATGGAGAAGCATAAGTGCACAACCAAACGTAACCAGGAGTCGGTCACATGACACTCATGATATGGTGTTACCATCTCCCTGGCTGTGAAGGATTTTAAGCTGAGGACACACCTGTTTCTTAAGTCTCATCAGTGTGTGTTGGTCCACCTTGCTGAACAAGGCAGCTTTGCCCCTGATTGTGTTAAATGGCAGGAGGGGTAATGAGCGAAGGAACGTTCCCTGTCCAGGCATTATTCACAACGACTTTATCTGAACAACAAAATGAAGAAATTGCTTCAGTCTGATCAGAAGAATGGCCAAAGACATTTCAAAAAGCATCTGACATTACTTTTCTTTACAGTTATTAGTGATAGCAGTAATTTCCTTATCCCAGTTTGCTTCAGCTGAAGGCTTTGGGACTGTTTTACGCAGAAGACAATGTTATTTCCAAGTCTCCTGAGATAAATTTCTTCAGTGTTCACTGTGAAGTTAGGGAGCATCAGCTGCCTGCCCTGGAGGAATATTGAAGCCCTGCCCCATCTGCATCCTCCCAGAGATACATATACAGGTACATTCTGATCCTGAAATACTTGCCCCCAGGCTCAAACTGGCTTACTGTCACAGAAGTAGGTTCTAAGTGTCCTTTGTCAATCACTATTATGTGATTGAGTTTGCCAGCTCAATCAATTTTCCAAGATTGAAAGCTGCAATATGAATAGCCAGTGCCTGGCTTCCAGCCCACTCTTCATCTACCCATCCCCAGCACTAGACTCAAGTTGATTCACAGACTGTAAGATAAAAGCATGTGGACTGCAATGGGCCCACTCCTTTCCATTATACCCAGAAATTCCACTGATCTGATTCCACTTTTCTAAAGAAAGAAAGAAAGAAATTTGTGAAATCATACCATTAGGCAGTGACATGTCCATGCAGGCCTTCAGAGGAACAGTGTAATTGTGAAAATGACAAATTTCTTAAAATAAAAAAACAAATTGGAGCACATAAAGAAAACAAGCAAATCCTTCTTTCCATTTTTTTTAATTTAAAATTATGGCAATAAGCACTACTCTTTGTAGCAGGATGCAAATATTACTCTTTGCCAAATCCTATGGAAATTATGAAATATCTTATAATATAAGGCATTATGATTTATTATAATTACATTACATAAGGCATTATAATTATTGTACTTACAGCCCTAGAGTAAAGCAAAACTATGGCCAAGATGTGCAGCTCTGGCTTAGTTTTGTGTATTTACAGAGCTGTTAAACAGCATTCTGGTATTTAACAACTCTGCAAATATACAAAACTGGTGGTTTTTAAAAAGGAAATGTCTTCATGAAATTGAAAATTCTGTTTCCTGAGCAGGTTTTTTTCTGTGATCTCAGATTTAGTAATCCCAGGATTTTTTTTTTTATTATATTGGCACACTGTGGTGGTTCCTTATGCAAACAGCAAAAGCCATTCAGTTTCTCTGTGCTTCAAATGCTGTTACCAGGAAAACTATTTTGGTATGAAGGGTTTTCTTTTTATTGCTTGTGAACCTAATTACTGAGTAATTACAGTTATATTAATTCAGAAATTTAATGCCACTTATTTTACTTTCCAATGGGAGTGATTATAATGGCAATAGGATCATTGTTGCAAAGACTTTCAAACCACTTTAGATTTCTTTTAACAGTCCATTACAGTGTACAATCATAAAGCACAGTGTGATTCTCTTGAGAATGAATGAGGGATAATGAAAACAAACAAATATGATTCTATGCACAAATTCTTTTAATTAAAAAAATAAAAATTGTGCTGTCTGCACATTCAAGCAAATGCTGAAAGTGCCCAACTCAGCTGAAAATGTTGTCTCCTCACCCACAAAACAACAACTGGCAGAGGAACATAAGCACTGTAAATACCCAGAAATCAAGCGGAAATCTGATCACAGGAAAATTCACTTACACTGGAAAACTGGTTTTTTGATACTGGAAACAATGCAGTTGGGGTAGCAGTGTGGGACCTTGGGGGAAGCCAACTGTGAGTTAAACAAATGATAACTATTTAAAACCTCTCCCTGGGGCCTTTGGTTTGAGGGAGGGTGTGAAATACACACAGAGCTTAGCTCACTATCCATTAAGGCCTGGATCCACCTTTACTGCTGGAATACTTGGTCTTACAGCTCCTGTATTTTCTGTCCTTTTTCCGTGGAGTAGGAATCATGGCTCTATGTTAAGCATGTAGGCTCCTGTGTATTGTTCCCAGGATTGAGAGAGGAATTGTGTTTAGTTCTCACTTAAACAAAAAGAAATTCAAACTCCTGACTTTCAGAAGAGTGTTATAACTATAACTATGACAGAGCAGGAAGAAAACATTAAAGATAATCTTGGCAACTGAGGAAGGGAAAACTGATTGGGTACTCAGTCAGGAAAGGAGGAAAACCAGCCATTTTCTTGTGTCTTTTCTTGAGTACTTTATGGATCTTCTATCTGGTATGACTGTATAAATAGGCAAAAGAAGGGAGAATACACCCTTGCCACGTATTTCTGTAGCTTCCCAAAGGTAGAGGAGCCTAGGTGAGGGCACCAGCCACCAGGTTCAAGTTTCTCTCACTTTCTCTGCCCTGTGAAGCCCTAATCATCCTCTACAACACAGAGCAGCTCAGTAGGAAAAACTTAGGCCTGCCTTAAATGCACGTGAGGAACCTCCTGTGGTTCCTTCCACCCTAAAATAACCTGTTTCAAAGTGAAAGCATCTGTCTGCTTCAGATTTTTCTCTCCTAACCCCAAAGATTTCATAACCTACAGGCAAGCTGCAGTGTGCAAGCATCCTCCCAGCAACAAGATTCAATCCAAAGTCTCTGACATTTTCAGAGGACATTTTACCTTACAAGAGGACTAGTCAGCAGCAGAGAACATGTGCTCCTGCCATGAGGATACTGCAGAAAGATGGCCATGTTGCATTTCTGTAACACGTAAATGCTGTGACTTGGAGCCTTTACAGGGTAAGGAGTTCCCTTTAACACTTGACAGAGATTGAGAACAGAGAGACAGAAAAGCTTGGTGTGAATTTCTATCACTGAGCAAAAGGAATTTATAGGATGGGCCTGACTCCACTTGTGAGTTATGCGTCATGGCATTCTAATATAGCTATGGAAAATGGGTCAATATTATTCTATTTTTGTAAGAACTGAATGAGACAGCATTGCTCAGCCCAGGGTGCAGTGTCATTCTAGCTCATGCTGCAGCCTTCAGTGATGAGTTAAGGGAGCTTACAGTGATTCCTAGAAGAAAGGGGGAAAAAAAAATCAGTTGGCATTGGAATATATTCAGTGTTCATTTTGGTTAGAGATCTCCATGGCTGCCATTTTTTTTTTTTTCTGAATCTGTTATGTGAAGAAAAAAGCTGAGGTCACTCAAAGTGGGGGTGAATAGTCCAACACAGCTGCTCATCAGTGAGTGTGTGGGCCACATGCACTGGGGAGAGCCAAGTGAGGGAAAAACCTGCAGCAAGAGCATCCCTGGATGACACTAGTGCTGTGCTGGTGCCTCCCAGACAGGCAGTCAAGGTCCTGGGAGCTGAGTATGCTTTGAGGCTGTAAGGTCTGCAGCTGGACTCTCCTCAGCCAGGCTAATGCACTGTGAGAGGGATGCAGATGAAGGGGGTTGCATTATTCACTTGCAGCAGCTCACTGCTATGGGAGGAAAGCTGACTCCCAGCTGCCACTGGAGTATTTTGCAGAGTAGCATTTTTTCAGCAGCTGCTGAGTACTTATGTTCCCCAAACTGTTGCGTATTTTCCCTTTCTTCCTCAAAAACGCTTCATAGTGCCAAGAGGCCAATCATCCTCATAAAACAGAATCTAAATGTGTTTTAGTTTCGTGAATGGGCTTCTGAGCAGCTGGTGTCAAAGGAAACCCCTAGAAGTCAGTTAGTTTCTATTACATTTCTCTTGCTTCACTCAGGCAGAAGGGGCAGCTCCACAGAGACCAGCCTAGCCTTGGGGGGAAGAGGTGAGCATGGCCAGGCTTAGCCTCAAGCCCACTCCTCAAAATGAGATGTTGGCAGGTGTCACTCAAAGAGAGAAGTGGACATTTTTGGGAGCATAGGTGTCAAACACCAGGTTCCAGGGAATACTAGGAGTGGAAGGTGTCCCAGCCCATGGCAGAGGGGTTGAAACTGGGATGGTCTTTAAGATCCCTTCCGACCCGAACCATTCCGTGGTCATTTTCTGAGGCAGCGAGCTGCGTGCTACCTGCTGAAATTCCTTCTTCCCCTAACCTGTGGGGCTTTCACTCCACATTAAATTGATTTAATTTCAGTTTTTCAATTAGTAGAGCTGATACCTCCCTTCTGTAAGAGCAACACGACAGTTTCTGTCGACAGAAATATAACAGAAACTCCCTCC